TGGGGCTGCAGTGAGCTATGACTGATCGCACCACTGCATTCCTGCCCGGGTGACAGAGCAAGACCCTGGCGCTAAATAAATAAATAATAAGTTAAAAGGTCAAAACTGACCATGTTCCCTTCCCATTTTACGGACCCTTAAGGTGACTTCCCACTGATAGAATAAAGGCCACAATTTTTTTTTTAGACAGAGTTTCGCTCTTGTTACCCAGGCTGGAGTGCAATGGCGCGATCCCGGCTCTTCGCAACCTCCACCTCCTGGGTTCAGGAAATTCTCCTGCCTCAGCCTCCCGAGTAGCTGGGATTACAGGCACGCACCACCATGCCCAGCTAATTTTTTGTATCTTTAGTAGAGACGGGGTTTCACCATGTTGACCTGGATGGTCTCGATCTCTTGACCTCGTGATCCACCTGCCTTGGCCTCCCAAAGTGCTGGGATTACAGGCATGAGCCACCGCACCCGGCCACAAAGACCACAATTTTTAATTCTTCCTTGAGTTCCTGCACAGACCCCACCATCCCCACCAATTCTCACGCCTCCTTGAGGAGGTTCCTAGAGCAAACCACACAGTCTCACAGTGTGAAGAGCGCAGCCCTAACCACATGAGATCCGGTCACGTTTTATCCCTGTGCATACATGAGTTAGTAATTGTCTTAGACCTTTCACCATCTCTGGATATCACCAGCCAAGAATGCACTGAGCCTGAAAACTCCAGCCAGGCCAGGCTCACAGCAGACACCCCGGGGAAGGCACTCAAACAGCAGCTGCAGTGACGGCGCTGCAGAAAGCTTCCCACTTTGCCGGGACAGGTGTTGATGAGTCGTCGCTCACTGTGCGGCAGGACTCCCCCAGGAGGCTGCCGGAGTGCACAGCTCTCACTCCCTCCATTACCAATCCCGCGTGGCTCCAGTTTAGATGGTGAAATGTGCCCGACTCCTTGAGCGTCGTAAATCTCACCCTGCCTCCGTCCTCGGGATGAATTTAGATGTCTTGTTATTGCCCAGGGTACCACCATGCTCTGTTTCTCTTTATTTCCATTTAAGTTCAGCTGTATGGTTTGTCTCACCTGGAGTCTGAAATTGTGCATTTCCAATTGAAATGTGTTTATGGAAAGGACAGAGAACAGTTTGACTGTAAATTTGTGGCTGAGCCTAAGTATCGGTTGGTTAAATGAGTCTACAATTGCTTTCAGAGGAGCAGTGACTCAAAACAACAAGGCACTGCTGTTTTCATCAAAGTGTTTGGGGGTCTAGAGCTGTGAGTGGGACACCGAGTGACTGAAAAGGTTGATTCAATGGGGGGTGAACATGGAGGAAAGGGGATAGAGTCTGGGGAGACCTGGAAGTCAGTCCTCATAGCAGGGGAAAGATCCCTGGCCACCCCAACAACCCACCAAGCTTTGAGCCTGAGGATGCATGAGTTCCAGGCAGAAAGCTGAGACTCCTTTCATCCTAAATGGCAGGATGGGATAACCCAACAGTTAGGGTGCCCTGGAGGCAGGTGTCATAAAGAGCATGAAGCTGAATGCGAGTCTCTGCAAGCACCGGTTCCCTTTCACTCCTATCCACAGTGGGGAGTGCACTGGGAGGAGAGGGTGGGGAAGACAAAGTGGGAGCTGGGCCAAGATGGGCAAGAGGGGGCTGGGAGTCCCAGCTTCGGACCACAGACCTACAATCCCACGTGTACCAGGCCAGGGCATGTGTAGAGAGTTGAGGCAGCTCCGGGGCACAGAGGTCATCTTCAAACTGTACTCTTACTAACTCATGTATGCACAGGGATAAAACGTGACCGGATCTCATGTGGTTAGGGCTGCTCTCTTCACACTGTGAGACTGTGTGGTTCGCTCTAGGCACCTCCTCAAGGAGGCGTGAGAATCGGCGGGGATGGTGGGGTCTGTGCAGGAACTGAAGGAAGAATTAAAAATCTCTCGTTCCTTCATGCTTTCTTGCTAATAAACTATGAGCCAAATATCAGAAGGCAGAGACAAGTGCCTGTGCTCAGTCTCCGCGGCTCCATTACAGCCAGTTCCCCTAATGAACATGTCAGCACAACCATATATTCAAGACCTGGCACTTTTGATGAGTGGTAATAGAACGCTTTGCCTCTCGTCTGAAGACTTTATTTTCCCTGAAAAGCACAGTCGAGCTTGTTCTGATTCCTCTCGCAGTAGCTTCCTGGCTGTACGGGTCTGGTCACAGCCCAGCGGTAGGGCACCCCGAGCCGATTTAGGATGTTTACTATCTGATGACAAGAAAACAGCCCCGAGATCAAGAGGGCATTATCGGAGAGACTTGTCTGCTCTCCTTCCAAAAGGAAAAAGGATGTGAAGTCATTATTGCTAAGGACATAAAAATCTTCAAATGCCATTCTAATATGAATTTTGACAGATATGTGTTTCCATGAAAAGTAATGAATTTCACAAGAGAAACAGATTGGAAAATGATTAAATGGACATACTGCTTCAGCGTGAAGCTCCTGGAACCACATTCCCTGAATGACGATGTTGTCCGATGCAGTACGTGGTCCAGGCAGAAGCTCCCAGAGCTGTCTTGCCCCATCCAGACCCTTGAAGCCTATCCTGTCAGGAGACTACTCCCTTGCCAGTGAGCCCTGAGGCAGAATACAGAGGGGCTCCTGCAGCATTAGGAAGAGAACCAAGAAAAGACGTAAGAAAAGAGTAATGCTGAGATTTCTCAGAGCCGGAGAAGTTTCCATTTTTTTTCCCTATTGAATTGCAATTACCATACTGATCCATGATGTCATCACAGCCATCGGTAATCCATACCCTTTATCTAGCACTTTTTAAATTTTCAGAGTTTTTATCTACTATGCTTCCTCTAAGTGACAAAAACAGAGATAAGATTCTGCTTCAGACGGGAAGTTTCTCTCGGTTCAAAGAGGGCATTTTTATAGGGTCTTCTCACTCGGGCCTCTAGTTACAAGGTCTTTCATTAAATTTTCGTTTGCAGAAGGCTTACCTAAAGGCAAAGCGTCATTTTGAAGGTGAAAACCTCAACGGGATATTTTAGGTGTGGTTTCTGAATTTTAGCTGCCCACATCTTCACCAAGCAGCAGCACAAATCCTTTTGTGCTTTGCCAGTTTAGCCACTCTTGTGTCAGCAAGGTTCCAAGATGTGAGGTGTCATGCCCACTTCCCACATCAGTTGCTAGAAAAAGTTGCACCCCAGAAGCCAGTGTGGCAGCTCCCAGGTGAACTGCAGGTGCTTTCAGGGAGCCAGAGCTGGGTCCTATTACCGGATTTTGTGAGAGTTTGGTTAATAACTTGATTCCAAACGCTGCCCAATGAGCAGAGTGAGGTCACAGGATGTGAAACCCTTTCAGGAACACAGAGAAAGGGCTGGGGACACACGGGCTTATGGACATGGACACAGCCATGCCGACGAATAAGGACAGATGCTTGGCAGAGCCCACGCTGGGGGAGTGAAGACCAGGTTTGAGTTCTTTGGGGTGGGCAAAATTGTTCACACACTAGATTGAAGCAACAAGATTAACCCTTTCACACTGACAGACTGTCACTAAAAATCTGAGTTTAATTAACTAATCCCCGCTGTCATTAGAAATACGTTGGAGAAAGAAGGTCTCAACTGTATTGATCATGGCTTCCCACCTGGGGTTTGGAGGAGGACTGACTTCCCTCTGATCTGCCCAAGCAGGGCTCTTCCAGTTTTCAGTGTTCACGGTACACCCTACTCAGGATGCCCAAGAGGCTTCCAGAAGTTAAGACACTGATGAGTTGTCAAGAGAAACAGGCACTCATCCTGTGTAAGATCTAACTTTTTTAAATGTATTAAAACTAAGAATTATCGTCAGACGCATATTGTTTATGCATACATAAATTTGTCTACAATTATGCCAAGGAAGCTCGATAAAATGCGAAGTATAAATTGGTGATGTGTGGCCTTCTGAAAGCAAAGTAAACCGTAGTAGATGTGATCATAAAATGAGACCCAGATTCTTACTGGCCATCATAAAACACGGATGAAACACTAAAACCAGCAACTTACTTTACAAAACAGAAAAACTCCTCTGGGCAGGCAGCCTGCGCTTATGCTCCAAGGCTTCACCAGTTTTCAGAACGCATCACTCAAACCCACTTCAGTAAAGGGAAAATGGAAGCCCGATGAGGAAAGCAGTAACTTTCCAGGGCTCTGGATCATTCTATTCAACATCCAACAGCAAGGCCCAGTGCGCAGTGCACACGTGAGCAGCTGCCCAACGCTTGCAGGGAGTCTGAGTATTGCAGGTTGTGTTAATCACTCCTTTGTGATTTTACAATCTTCCTTAGACTGCGATATGAAGATGAAATGAGAATCGCAGATGAAACATGGAATTTTACAGTAGAGTGGATCTATGAGACCATTTATTTTCATTTCTTTCCTCCTCAGTAGAGAATGTTGAATATCGAAGAACCGATTTGCCGGGGTGATGGGGAGTATCCTGTTTTATTGATCCTTCCACTCTGCTGCTTTCCCGCTAGAGAATGTTTTGGTATCTTATAACACTGTATTGCTAGCATCTGGATAGTCTGAAATAAACGCTAGTTAATATATATGCTTCCACTCCTTCATCAGCACCTGGTAAAAAATGTATTACAATCCTTCCTCTATCTCAATTTTGCCTTCCATTCTTTTATTCAAAAATATTTCTCGTGCACCAAATGCTTGCCAGACATTACGCTGGAATGTTTCCTGGCCCCATAGAGGGCATGATCTATCAGTGAATAAACGAACACATTTTGCCTGCCCCGTTAACAAAGATTGATGGGATGATGGCATCCAGGATGTGAGGATGTGAAGAAATGGGCAAACTTAGTCACTGACAGGAGAAGGGAAAATTGGGTAAGGTATTTTTGGTGGGCAAATTGAAAAAAATATTTAAAATTGTTATGTCCTTTGGTCTAGCAATTTTACTTCTAAGAATTTATGCCAAGTAAATAATTAGAATACATTTGATAAATTATATTCTAGAATTTTCAACACAATACAGTTTACATGAATGAAAAATAGAAAAATTATCTTAATATTAAGCAATAGAAGAATGCTTAAGTAGATTATGGTATAGCTATATAACAGAGTTCTATAAACCTGTTAAATCATATTATATGAGAACATTATTTGACATATAAAACATTCACAATGCTTTAAAGATACAAATTCATTTTCTTGGGAGTTCATCTTTATAATATTGAGTCTTCCTATCCATTCACATAGTATATTTCTCTATTTACACATATTTTCTTTAATAACTTTAAAAATAAATTTTCATAATTTTTTACACATATTTTTATATTTATCCCTTGAATATTTTCACAGATATATTTTCTAAGTGTTTGTTGCTGGCATTAGAAATGCAATTTAATTCAGTATACTGATAAAATAGCCACCATGGCTTCCTTTTGGTAAGTATTTTTCTTGCATATATTTTGTCTAATCTACAAAAGCATACATTTTATCATAACCATTTTTATTTTTTCACAAGATAACTAATAAAATGATGGTCACAAAAATAGGCTGAAAAGTCTTACCCCAAAGTGTTAAAAACACATACTCCTGGGCAGTATCACCAAAAGAAATTCTATTTACTTAATTATTTTAGTGCTTGTAATTTCTTAAAAATATATTTTTCCAGTTTTTGCTATGAATACATATTAATTTTGTAATTTGAATAAACAGAGCATGACATTTTTATTCAAAACTACTGTTTTTCTCAACCTCCTCTGTGTACTCCCCCATTCTATAAATGATTGGAACTTATCAACATGTTTTCTTCTGTAGATCCCAAATATCTGCACATTAGATTACATCTTTCCAGAGGTGGCATTGTTTACTCTTTCCTTGTAATTCCTCAATTTCAGCTCAATAAACACTGCTTCACTCAATCTCTCTTCCTACAACTCCAACAAACCAGCCTCTAAAGCTGGAGATATTATATATGCACAGATATTGAGTCTGAACTCCAGAAAAGAAGGTCACTGTCCATGGACAGCTTAGGGGAAGATTCACCTTGTAAAGTGAGATGAAAAATCCAGACCCAGGATGAAAACTTTCCACTAGTAAAGGTGCATTTCTTTCCTGTTCAAGAGAGCAGCTGACACAAGTGTGGGTTTCTACCCAGAGAAGATGGATGTGATAGAACCCATGAAGAGGCTCATGGGTCAGGACCTTCACAGAGGAAGATGCTCACAGCCTCATCCACCACACACAGCAGATGTTTGAGATAGTCAAGAGAGGTGGAGATTCCATGTAGCCCAAGGGACAGACTCCAATCTCCAAACCAGAAAACCGTATCTCTTTCAAAGAGGAGGCGGAGGAAGAAAGGGAAAAGAAAAACTGGAATATGGTCCTAACATTGCCACTTCTGAGGAAGTGACACGGAAATGCAGTGGTACGGTTTGGCCGTGTCCCCACCTGTGTCTCAACTTGAAATGTATCTCCCAGAAATCTCTTGTGTTGTGGGAGGGACACAGGGGGAGGTAATTGAATCATGGGGTCCAGTCTTTCCTGTGCTATTCTCATGATAGTGAATAGGTCTCATGAGATCTGATGGGTTTATCCGGGACTCCCACTTTTGCTTCTTCCTCATTTTTCTCTTGTCACCACCATGTAAGAAGTGTCTTTCACTCCCGCCAGGATTCTGAGGCCTCCCCAGCCACGTGGAACTGCAAGTCCAGTTAAACCTTTTTTTGTTCCCAGTTTCAAGTATGTCTTTATCAGCAGAATGAAAACAAACTAACACAGTAAATTGGTACCAGTAGAGTGGGGCAATGCTGAAAAGATACTCGAAACTGTGGAAGCAACGTTGGAACTGGGCAACAGGGAGGGGAGGGGTTGGAACAATTTGCAAGGCTCAGAAGAAGACAGGAAAAGGTGGGAAAGTTTGGAACTTCCTAGAGACTCACTGAATGACTTTGACAAAAATGCCTATAGGCATATAAACAATAAGGTCCAGGCTGAGGTGGTCTCAGATGGAGATGAGGAATTCGTTGGGAACTGGAGCAAAGGTGACTCTTGTTACGTTTTAGCAAAGAGACTGGCAGCATTTTGTCCTTACCCTGAAGATTTGTGGAACTTTGAACTTGAAAGAGATGATTTATAAAAACCCTAGAAGAAAACCTAGGCAATATCATTCAGGACATAGGCATAGGCAAAGACTTCATTACCAAAACACCAAAAGCAATGGCAACAAAAGCCAAAATAGACAGATGGGATCTAATTAAACTTAAGAGCTTCTGTACTGCAAAAGAAACTATCATTAGAGTGAACTGGCAACCACCAGAATCGGAAAAATTTTTGCAAGCTACCCATCTGACAAAGGGCTAATATCCAGAATCTACAAAGAACTCAAGTAGATTCAAAAGAAAAAAAAAAAAAAAACATCAAAAAGTGGGTGAGGGATATGAACAGACACTTTTCAAAAGAAGACATTTATGAAGCCAACAAACATGAAAAAAATGCTCCTCATCACTGGTCATTAGAGAAATGCAAATCAAAACTTCACTTGAGATACCATCTCATGCCAGTTAGAATCATGATCACTAAAAAATCTGGAGACAACAGTTGCTGGAGAGGATGTGGAGAAATAGGATCACTTTTACACTGTTGGAGGAAGTGTAAATTAGTTCAACCATTGTAGAAGACAGTGTGGCGATTCCTCAAGGACCTAGAAATAGAAATTCCATTTGACCCAACAATCCCATTATTGGGTATATACCCAAAGGATTATAAAACATTCTATTATAAAGACACATGCACATGGATGTTCATTGTGGCACTGTTTACAATAGCAAAGATCTGGAACCAACCCAAATGCCCATCAATGATAGACTGGATAAAGAAAATGTGGGACACATACACCATGGAGTACCATGTAGCCATAAAAAAGGATGAGTTTGTGTCCTTTGTAGAGAGATGGATGAAGCTGGGAACCATCATTCTCAGCAAACTGATACAAGAACAGAAAACCAAACACCACATGTTCTCACTCATAAGTGGGTGTTGAACAATGAGAACACATGGACACAGGGAGGGGAACATCATACACTGGGGCCTGTTGGGGGATGGGGAGGCTAGGGGAGGGATAGCAGGAGGTGGGGGGATTGGGGAAGGATAACATTAGGAGAAATACCTAATGTAGATGATGGGGGATGGATGCAGCAAACACAGCAGACGTATACCTATGTAATAATCCTGCACTATCTGCACATGTACCCTAGAACATAAAGTATAATTTTAAAAAATTGAAAAAAAAATTCTATGCAGTAAAACATTCAGAAGGTGACTTGTGTGCTGTTAAAAGCATTCCATTTTGAAAGGGAAACAGCATAAAAGTTCAGAAAATTTGCAGCCTGACAATGCAGTGGAAAGGAAAAATCCATTTCTTCAGGAGAAATTCAAGCCAGCTACAGAAATTTGCATAAGTAGCAAGGAGCCTAATGTTAATCCCCAAGATCTCGGGGAAAATGTCTCTAGGCCATGTCAGAGACCTTCACAGCAGCCCCTCCCATCACAGGCCTGGAGCCCTGGGAGGAAAAAGTGGTTTCCTGGGCCAGGCCCAGGGTCCCTGTGCTATGTGCAGCCGAGGGACTTGGTGCCCTATGTCCCAGCTCCTCTAGCTGTGGCTGAAAGGGGCCAACATAGAGCTCAGGCTGTGGCTTCAGAGGGTGTAAGCCCCAAGCCTTGACAGTTTTCACATGGTGTTGGGCCTGCAGTGCACAGAAGTCAATAATTGAGGTTTGGGAATCTACCTCCACCTAGATTTCAGAAGTTGTATCAAAACACCTGGATGCCCAGGCAAAAGTTTGCTGCAGAGGCAGGACCCTCATTGACAGCCTCTGCTAGAGCAATAAAGAAGGAAAATGTGGGCTTGGGGTCCCCACAGAGTCCCTCCTGGAGCTGTGAGAAGATGGCCACTGTTCTCCAGATCCCAGAATGGTAGATCCACTGACAACTTGCACTGTGCAACTGGAAAGGCCACAGACACTCAGTGCCAGCCCGTGAAAGCAGTGCAAGGGAGGCAGTGCCCTGCAAAGCCACAGGAGCAGAGCTTCCCAAGCCCATGGGAACCCACCTCTTGAACCAGCATGACCTGGATGTGAGACTTGGAGTCAAAGATGATCATTTTGGAGCTTTAAAATTTATCTGTCCTGCTGGATTTCAGACTTGCATGGGCCCTGTAACCCCTTTATTTTAGCCAATCTCTCGCATTTGGAATGGCTGTATTTATCCAATCTCTTTACCTCCGCCGCAAAAGCAACTAGCTTGCTTTTGATTTTACAGGCTCATAGGCAGAAGGGACTTGCCTTATCTCAGATGAGACTTTGGACTGTGGACTTTTGGGTTAATGGGGATTGTTGGGAAGCCATGATTGCATTTGAAATGTGAATACATAGATTTGGAGGGGCTGGGAGCAGATTGACATGGTTTGGCTGAGTCCCCACCAAAATGTCAACTTGAATTGAATCTCCTAGAATTCTCCCATGTTGTGGGAGGTAACTGAATCATGGGGGCCGGTCTTTCCCGTGCTATTCTCATGATAGTGAGTAAGTCTCACGAGATCTGACGGAATTATCAGGGGTTTCCGCTTTTGCTTCTTCCTCATTTTTCTCTTGTTGCTGCCGTGTAAGAAGTGTCTTTCTCCTCCCACCATGATTCTGAGGCCTCCCCAGCCATGTGGAACTCTAAGTCCAATTTAACCTCTTTTTGTTCCCAGTTTCGGGTATGTCTTTATCAGCAGCGTAAAAACAAACTAATACATGTACTTATAAAAACATGGAATGCCAAAGGGGCTGCCACAGAAACCCATGCTTTTCTTCTCTTAATAATCTAGTTTGACTCCTTAGTCTATGGTTAACTGGGCAGTGGTTGCCTCTGGAGGGGAAGTGTATTAGTCTGCTCAGACAACCATACCAAAATACCACGGCTTAAACAACGGAAATGTATTTCTCACAGTTCTGGAGACTGGAGCGTCTACAATCCAGGCACCTGCAAATTTAGCTCTTGGTGAGGGCTTTCTTCCTGATTTGTAGATGGCCACCTTCTTGCTGAATTCTCATGTGGTGGAGCAAGGGAGACCCGATGTCTTTTCCTTTCCTGATGAGGACACTAATCCCATCATGAGGCTCCATCTTCTGACCTAACTCCCTACCCCATCTCCAAATACCATTACATCGAGGGCTTCAAAACATGAATTTTGGAGAAACACATTCAGCCAATCACAGGAGGCAAACAGCAGTGTGCATGCCAAGTCCTCTCACCCTGCTCCCAGATAGCCACCTAGAGCTGGTGAGGACAGTCCTGCTTTTGCTCCCAGGAACATCTGAAATGCTGAAACAGTGTAATAGATAAGGTGACTCCACATTCAGATCTCATCCCTGAAGATAAGCATGGATGTCCTATTTCATTTCCCATCCCAGATGATGCCCAGCTATGCCAATTCATAAACCCTTAGCAAGGAGATACGGAGACTAGGAGACAGTATATAAATACTTCCAAAACATAAGTTAATGATTTAGAGATTATTTTAATTAGCATATCCTCCATATGTAAATTCTTTTTCATTAGGAAATTTTTAAGATTAAGTCTATTTTGCCTTGTAAGAAAATCTGAGGAAATCTAACTCTAAGAGTGTCTCTTTTTCCTCCTTGTTCCGGTCAGAGAGCCTCACTTTGCTCGGGGTCGAGCCAGCATCTCACTGGAATCTGCTCTGTGCTGGCTTTTGCTGGAATACATAAAATGGTTTCATTTTTTCCCAAGTTGGATTCTTCTTTCCTGCAAATTTGAGAGAAGATTAGAAAATTCCCAGCTCTTTTAATGTCTATTTTTGGCAAATTTGAATCCAGAACCTGTCATATAATAAAGTGCAGAACGTGTTATTATCACTAGTTGCAGACATTATGTGGGGAAAAGAAGGCAGACAGCTCATGAGAAAAAAGGAAAAAAATGATTGGCTTTTGGCTTAACGCCAGTCAGTTTGTGCTGTTATCGAGATGTCACAACCCATGAACTTCAACGAAGCTGAGAGAAATCACCCATCAAGAGTCTGAGCTTTCATGTGTTTTTTCTCTCATTGATACCATGACCTTTTGAGGTCTGTGCTGTTTTGGGGATGTCTGATCTCTACCATGGCCTTCTTCTCTCCAAAAGCTGCCTTCTCTCAGTGCTCACTTCTCCAGGGCTTCAGTGAACTTTCACTGCACTCAGCGACCCTGAGCCCTGAGCCTGCCACACAGTAGAATCCAGTGCATGCCTTCTCCTTTCTCCACCCCAGCTTCAGCATGACTCTGACCCAGCGTCACTCAGCAAAGTATGAACACCAGCTGCCTTCACAAGCTCGTCATGTGCACAGCCACACCCAAAGGCTTTCTCCAGGTCTGCATCATTGGACCCCAAAAGCTAGACTTGTGGGAGCACCTCATCAGTGCCACGTTGGGTACCAAGAGGGTGGAGGTTCAGTGTGGACATGGCGCCTGAACCTCACACTCACCCTTCATTCCCTACAGGATTCTGATCGATAAAATATAAATGGGCAGGACTAAGCAAAACGTTGTGGGGTGGGGTTTGAGCAGGGAGTTCCGACCCAGAGAGCCTATGGAATGGAAGAGGTGAGAGATTTTCTGGAATCAAGACAGGCAAGTCTTTGAGTGACAGGGAGAGAGCCAGGAGGAGGATCTGTGCTGGAAAAGCCCTCTTTGAAATCTTCCACCATCAGAACACATGAGCGGAGTGCAGGCTCACCCCTTCCTTATTCTGATTAGTCTGCCTCCTCCCGGGAGAGGGAATGTGACTGCTGGTAGAGCGACCAGCAGGGCTGCCACTCCTGATCCTTCCCGAGGAGGAAGGGTTGGCACAGCCCAGGGTGGTTGCTTGTGGGAATTCCACCCATTGGTGTTTCAATATTGACCACCATGTTGGAATTGGAGTTCCATATCCATCATTTTGTTAGTTTCATATTCTTTGCTATTATTTGAAAGCATGATCTGATCACAGTAAATGTACTTTGTGTGTGTGATTCTTATGTTTTTGTAAATGGAGGCACAATTTTGTCAAATGCCGTTTTCAGTTTCAGCAATCTCATTTCATGATTTTTATTCTGACATGATGAACTTCACCCTACTGATAGAAATAATTATGCCCATGGATTTTCAATTATTGAATCAATCAATGCTTTATTTCAAAAATAACTCGCTTAATGGTGTTCTATTACTTTTGGAATGCACAGCTTTCCTTTTCCTTTGGATTCTGGAAGAGTCCCTTAACTTTGCCTCCACATTCCAGGCGCAATTCTCCACCCCGGGGGTTCTGTTCCTTCCTGAACAGAACTCTTATTTCTCTGATTTCTGCGATTGCATGCTGGATCGCTGCTGTCTTCTCTGACTTCTGCAAACTCTGGTTACCTCCCTGCCTTACTCACATCCTCTTCTCCCTTTGTCTGTCCTTACACCTGTCCCATTCTGCCTCTGTCCTTTCACACCTCTTCCCACTAAGAGTTTCTGATATGTAATATTTAATTTTCAAAGATGTGCCTTGCCTCCCAGTCTTCAGAGCAATGCTCCTTTTCCTTGTATCTTAGTATGATTTGAATCCATGATGTGTTGCTACGATTGTTTCCATATCTCTGGTGCACAGAACCCCAGAAACTCAGTAACTGCCTGAAGATGGTGCATCTGGAGTGGCTTCTGCCCCAAGGCCAGTCCCGTGGCTCCAGGCAGCCCCCTGCATTGTAAAGCAATTGTATCCACCCCACCAACCACACCGGTGAGATAATACAACCTTGCATTTGTGGAGTGCTATGTCTTCCCTTTAGTTAGTGGTACTATGTCATTTTTGTATTTTCCTGTATATCCATGATATTTAAATAAAACACAGGGTTTAAAAAGTCTAGGTCATTTTGTTACAAACTATCCCCAGATCTCAACAGCCTAAATCAATAAGGTTTGCTTCTCCCTAATGCTTCACACTCATGGAAAGCTGGGGGAAGAGGAGGTGTTGTCTCAGGTCTCCATCCAGGACCTGGCTAATGGAGCAGCCCTGTCTCAAGCAGAGGCCACAGAATTCAACCTGGCCATCAAGTGTCCCAACCCAGCAATGGCACAGGAGGCTGCTGCTTGCCATCTGTGGCCTGGACAGGCAGCCCACCCTGTGCCCAGAAGGAAGAGGAGGGGAGACACAGGAACATCAGAGGAGCGCATCAAGGACTCGGTCATTCTTGAGTGGGAGGCCAAGCACCAGCCTGGCCAGGCCCCTGTCTGTACACCCAGTGCTGCCAAGCATGATCTCTGGATGGACACACATCCAGAGGACCACGATCTGCTCACTCGGGACATGCCTGTAAACTTGGCACTGCCAAGTGTTATTTCTGGATGGACACACGGACAGGGAACCACAGTCTATTCCTTCAGGACATACCTGTAAACCTGGGCTCACCGAACATGACTCTGCATGGGCACACATCCAGGGGCACAGCTCTGCTCACTCGGGACCTGCCTTCACACTCAGCACTGCCGACCATGATTTCTACATGGTGTCCAGGGGGCCACTCTCTACTCACTCGGAGCATATCTGGAAACCTGGTATTGCCCAGCGTGATTTCTGGATGGACACACATCCAGGGGGCCACACTCTGCTCACTCAGGGCTCCCTGCTCCTCCAAAAATACTCCTCTGCCTATCTTTTCAGCATGTGGCCACACATGTCATTCAGGAATGTAAAGGTTCCTGATTTGCTTCCCTCAGGGGCTGCCCCTTCTTGCTCTTCCCATCAGCTTGTCTCCATCAGCAGGATGTCCCAAGAGTTCCATCCTGGGCATCTTACCATCCTACACTCTCCTAAGGACCCTGGGCACCTCCTGCAGACCCATAGGGTCCATGTGGTCATCTCCTCTCAGACCCACACCCACAGCAGCACTGCCTCTACTGCTGGAGGTAGGTGACCTGCAGCCCCACATGTCCATCCTGCCCTCTGCGCCCCAACTCTGCAGCTCCCGATCTGGGCTGTTCTTTCCACAGGTTCTCAGGCACTGCAACTGCTGCCCTGGACATCTCCTGGGTGCCCACGCCTCCCCTCCTCATTGCTGCTCTTCCCGAAGTGGCTCCAGAATCACCCATTTCCCTCAACTTCATTTCCAGTGCCACCCCATCCCCCTGATGAGCCATTGACATGTTTTGCCTTAACTGCAGTGACAGCTGCCATATTGGTCGCCAGACGTCCAGTCCCATCCGTGCCCCGCAGACGTCCAGTCCCATCCGTGCCCCGCAGACGTCCAGTCCCATCCGTGCCCCGCAGACGTCCAGTCCCATCTGTGCCCCACAGACGTCCAGTCCCATCCGTGCCCCGCAGACGTCCAGTCCCATCCGTGCCCCGCAGACGTCCAGTCCCCGTGCCCCACAGACGTCCAGTCCCCGTGCCCCACAGACGTCCAGTCCCATCCGTGCCCCGCAGACGTCCAGTCCCATCCGTGCCCCGCAGACATCCAGTCCCATCCGTACCCCACAGACGTCCAGTCCAATCCATGCCCCACAGATGTCCAGTCCCCGTGCCCCACAGACGTCCAGTCACATCCGTGCCCCGCAGACGTCCAGTCCCATCCGTGCCCCACAGACGTCCAGTCCAATCCGTGCCCCACACGGCAACCAGGAAGTCTGGTAAAATGCCAGTCTGATCACATCACCGCCCAGCTGGAAACCCCGTAACTTCCCATCACCCCTGGGCTGACGTCAAATCCCCCATCTGGCCTCCCAGGCCGGGCTCACAGGCATCCCTCCTTCCACTGCCCCAGCCCTGCCTGCCTCTGCTTCCCGGACAGGACAGCCACACCAGCACACAGCACAGGACCCTGTGTTTGGTCTAATGCTTTGCTGTCACCATCTCAAAATTCCCTGTAACTTTTTAACAGGCATCTCTGCCTTTTCCTTTCCCTCTGAGCCCCACAAACTATGTAGCCAGACTTGTTCTTGGAGAGGCCTTTTGAGCACATGTGACTTTGCCCAAGCCAGGCCCTCTGTCAAGAATGTTCTTGTCTTCCCTCCACCCGCCTCCCGCCTTCATGTCCTGGGATTTCCTTCCCCAGAAACCCTTCCCAATCCCCCAGGCTTCCAGAGCCTCTGAATGTTTGTCAGCCTCATCACAGCTGTAAGCAGAGTCGGTCTCCCTAACCTGTAAGTTCCAAGGGCGGGACTCCATCTGTTCACGAATGCAGCGTGGTCATGCAGCATGACTGGGAAGGAGATGGGCTCAGGACACCCACGGCCGGGCTCAGGACACCCACGGACGGGCTCAGGACACCCACGTTCGGGCTCAGCTCCAACCTCTCCTGCTTCCTGGCTGTGGAACTCTGGGGGAGTTAATTAAGCTGTCTGTGCTTTAGTTTCCCAAGGAGCTAATGATACCACCCAGCTAAATCTGCATTTTAGATAAACAAGTATTTAGGTATCAATGTGTCCCTTAAAATCTTGGGACGTACTTATACTGAAAAACCAAGCATTGTGTCTCTGAACTGGAAACTGAAGGGTTACTGTGAGGATGAGACACATCCAGCGGGTAGGCACCGGGCTGTGTTCTCCGTGCGGCTCAGGAGGACCGACCCCGTTCTGCTCACTGTGGTTTTCCGGAGCCCGGAGTCAGGGCCTGGAGTCTGCTCTGTCCGTCAGCAATTGCTGAACAGATGAATGGCGACTTCTATGAGAATTAAATGCTGTGAAATACGTGAGACGCGGAGCGCAGTGCTTGTTACACAGTGAACATTAGATAAATATTGGCCATTATTATTTTAC